GGGTGTGTTTGTGTGTGTGCTCATTCCCCTTCAAAACAAGCACCCTGAGCCTCCCTCTCCTTGGGCTCAGCTTGCCCTGGACCCTGTTATATTGATCCCCTAGGAGTCCTCTTGGGCCCATGACTCAGAGAAAACCTCCCTATGGCCCCTACCATTCCCTAGGCCTCAGAGGTCCAGCCTCGTATTTGTGAGGGCTGTGTGTCTAGTGCATTTGGCAGTAGGCAGCATGAATCCCAGCACATCTTAGAAGAGTTCTGGAGTTCCATAACCCAGGATTTGGGATTCTAAGAATCTCAGAATTTAGAATTGTAGAAGCTCAGAGCCCAGAAAGTGAGATGCGAGACAGTTCAAGGACATCCATTCTAGTGGGTTTTAAATCTTTAAAACAACAGAACGTATCTTCAGAACATCAAATGAACCTCCCCTAGGAGCCCAGTACGTGGAGCCGCTGAAGCTGAGTCTCTCTATGGAGCCCAATGGGGGCTTCTGAGACTGCTCCCCTCCTACCTCACCCCCCACAGGCAGCCCCAGGACACTGTTCTGCATGCATCTTAATTGAGGAATGGAGATGCTCAGGCCCAGAGGGGTCATGAACCTGCCCAAGGTCACCCAGGGAACCAGAGTCAGAGCCCACTCCACCGGCTCTCCACCTGGGCTCTGGCTCCTGCAGCCCTGGCTGCTGCCAGGCTGGGCGCACATGGATGAGTTGGCGCTGGGTCTCTGGGCTGCCAGGAGCGGATAAGCGGGATCCAGGGAGATGAGGGAGAATTGGCCAGGGCCCCCTTGCCAGAGGCCAGGCACCAGCCTGGAGAGATTCTTCCAGAGAGTCTGGGGTAGGACATGCCAGCAGTGGGGTGGTGGCGTTGGGGTGGGGGGTGGCCTGCCCAGGGCATTAGGCTTGACTTTTCCCTGGCCTGCTTTCCACATAGCTTCGAGATACAAAATATTTTTAAAGCACCATTTGTTTAGTAGTTACTCTGTGCCAGGAGCATCTCAAATATCACATTAGTTATTGAGGACCTACTGTGTGCCAGGCACTATCTGGCTCGGGATACGTGAGAGAACATTTCCTTCTTGGATCCTGACTTACGAAGAGGGTCTACTCCCTTTTCATGATGAGGAAATTGTAATTGAGTGACTTGCCCGTATCACTTGACTGATAAGTGGCAGGGTCTGATTTGGGCACAGGCCTGACTACAAAGCCTGAGCACCCCTCGTGGGCAGGGATATGAGGGGTCTCACCACACTGGGCACAGTCGATGCAGTAAGTGGCAAGTCCCTGTGCTTCTCCCCAGCAGGGGACTTGGGAGTTCACTCTGGTGGGGGCTGGGATCTGGGACAGATGGAGAGGGGTGTAAAGGAGGGGTCAGATATTAGGGGGTTGCATGTGATATTTGAGGCCCTAAAACATCTACCCTCAAGGAGAGAGGATGGGCAAAGTGGGGGATGTCACCCATCCCTGCAGAGAAAGCATTGGGTCCAGGAGACAATGAGCCAGAGATGCTGCCAGGCCTCACTAGGAAACCCTCAGTTTATGCAGCTGCTACCCCATAAACCCTTCAGGCAACCCCAGAAGCTGCCAGCATCTTCCTTTCCTCTAAAAGCCATTTAGTCCCATTCTATAGCATGTTACTACCCCCGCCTCTCTCCTGCCCCGCAACCGTTCTACCTGGCCTTCAGGGTGCATTGTGCTCCTCAGGGGTCCTCCAGTCTGTACTGTGGGGTGTCAAGTGTCAGAGCAGTTTTGGCAGGGATGGGGGTATTCAGATCAACTTGGGGTACAAATGTAATGGACAGATTAGGACGTTGCTGTGGGAGGGCAGTTACTCAGTTACCACCCTGTGCACTCTTGTTGGAAGAAGGTCGCTGGGGGTGGGGGATTATGGGAGACAGTCAGGGCCAGCTGGGAAGAGGTGTCAGATGCTCCATCCGGTCCTGCCTGCATAGACAGTGAGACTGGCGGAATCTGCCCTGGGACTTCAGAGCTGGGGCGGCCAGGAGGCCTGGCCTACCCCAGACCCCAGACTCCAGACCCCAGAGTTCAGGTTGGGTCAGATCCCCTTGCTCTGCCTCTAGAGCCCCTTCCCCTTCCCTTTGCAGCACTTTCTTTTCCTTGCACTTTTTCATTTATTTACTTGCATTGCTTTACTCGATGTTCATCTTCCCTGCCGATTGAGCTCTGTGAGGACAGAGAAAGTTCTGGAAAGTTCTTGGCTGTGCATCCCCCAGGGAAGAGCCAAACCCATGTTTCCTGCTGCTTAAACCTCACAACAGCCCCGGGGGTGGAAGGGTGGGGGTGGGGGTATTATTACCATGACTTGTTTAGAGGAGGAATGAAAGCTCATAGAGGTGCAGATGTTTTAGTTTCCCTTATTTATGGATTTCTCATTCAATGAATTATTTATCCAGGGGTTATAATGTGCTGGACACTGTCCTGGGCCCCGGTGATCCAGCTGTGGGCAGGATCCTCTTGTGCTTTGTAGTTAGTGGGGAGCCTTGCATTAAATTAGAAGAAGCACAAATGAATAATTACGAATTGTGAAACGAGCAGGGTGCCTGGGTTGGGGGCAGAGAGAGGGATTGTGGGGGAGTGGTCAGGGAAGGTCCTTTCGAAGTAATGACCTTTTAGGGAGACTAGAAGAATGCTATTCTACCACCCCCTCCTTCAGGGCCTCTGTCACCAGCCACAGGGCCCTGACCCTCCCCTCTGTTGCTATGATGGATGAAACCTGCCAGGTGACCTGGAGCCAAGCTCCGGACCTCGCTGGCCCTCAGTCTCCCTCCCTCCTCTCTCCTTCCCTTCCCCTAATCTGCAGGATTTCCTTGTAAAAGGCCATTCGTTAGGGTTTCTGCTGATGGGGTGATGTGGGGGCAGGTGAATGGAGGCCCCTGGGTGTGGCCTCAGGAGAGAGCTAGTTCTGGGGCAGGGTCCTGACCCTGCGCTGGACTCCACTAGAGGCCGCCCCTGGGTGTGGCCTCAGGAGAGAGCTAGTTCTGGGGTCAGGGTCCTGACCCTGCTCTGGACTCCACTAGAGACCCCCAGAGAGTCTTGGGAAGACCATGGCTGTCTGAGACTGAGCCTCCTCGTCTGCCTCCTCTCTGTGCTCTGTGGTCATGGCAGGGCTCTTCACCCAAGCTGTGCTTTGGGTGCCCATGAAGGGCGACCTTGCTCCTTTAATGGACCCCACACCCAGGGTCAGTCCGGATGGGTGAGGGGCCCCCAAGATTTGCCCCTGATCCCTCTCCACTCTGCCCCAGCCACTTTTTCCCTCCGAGACATAGGTGTATGCCAAGGACTGTCACCTCTCAGGGATAGAGAGGCCTGCAGGTGTGAGGGGGATTGGGACTGAGGGTGGGGGGCTGTCTGCAGAGGTGAGTATAGTTACCTTGAGTGTGTGAGTGGGAGATGTCATGTGTGTGAGTGTACACATATGTGTGTGTATTGGTGAATATGTATCTATCTCAGTGTGTGTGTTTAAATATGTGTGTCTGTGCATGTGAGTCCATGTCTGCATTTGTGAGTGCATGTAGTGTCTGTGTGTTTCTGTGTGTGTATCCATCTGAGTGTGTAGGCCTCCGTGTAGGTGTGCATGGATGCACATTTCCCTCTGTGTATGCGTGTGTGAATGACTGAGAGCTCTGCTTCCCCCAGGCGCTTTCCCCAGCCCCTTTGCACTCGAGTAGCAGGCCCAGGGAAGGTTTTGGAAGGGACTTGGGTGCTGGTCCTAAATAGTTGAGCCTGGCCAGCCCCCTCCTCAGTCTGGAAAGCACCCAGCTCCTCCCTGCTGGCTGGGCGCTGCCCTGGGCCCAGCCTTGTGGGCGGACCTTGGGCCCAACTGTGCTTTTCTCTTTGCACGCTGCCAGGAGAGACCACTATGCGTACTCCTACTACCCGTAAGTAGCTCCACGGGCCTGGGCCCTGGCCCCTCCGTGGGAGCCCCTGCCCCATCCCCTCCAGCTGGGCTTGGGCTCCCACACCCTCTCCATGGCCACCTCTGTCTCTGAGCTTCCCTCCTCTGTCTGACTCTCCTCTCTGTGTTGACCTCCTCACGTGGAGGTCACACGCACTGGCTTTGCAGTCAGAGTCTCAGGTTCAGACCTGGCTCTGCTGGGTCACCCCAGCTAGTCACTTACCCCCCTGAGCCTCTCTCCCTCCCTCTACCTGTGCGCTTAATTTTTAACCTAAATGCAGAACTTTTCCGAGTGTCCATTTTACATTCCATCTGCTTAGTCCCACCCTGGGATCAGCAGGAGGCCTGCCATGTTCGATGTCCCTCGGGGGCAGGCCGGTGCCCACACTGGCAGCTCTGCACACACTGCAGACAGCACTCAGGTCTCCAGGGGTCCTTTCTTAGCTGGGTGGCCCCAGGCTCCTCAAGCTCCCATTTCCTGGGAGCTTCCTCTGGGCTCAGTTCTTTACACAGAATCCTCACACCAACCCTGAGGAGTAGGAAGTAGGATCCCATTTTACTGATGAGCAAACTGAGGCTGATAGAGGTTAAGGGGCCTGTCAGAGGTCACAGAGCTGGGGTTACCACCCAGGCCCCTGTCTGACGCCACAGCCTTCTGATGCCACTCTGCCATCTGCTTCTGTCTTACCGGATTCTGCAAACCTTCTAGAACACTCCCCCCACTATTGCTTGTTCTCCCTCCTTGCAGAGCAGGTTCAGATGGTCCTGGACCAGGCCAGAGGATGGTGGTCTCTCACCTCCTCCTCCATGGACCCTCTACTTGCATCGACATCACCCAATGTTACCCTGGCTTTTCCAGCAGCCACACCCCCATCAGCTCTCGCAGCCTCCCGCTCAACTTTCACAGGAACTGCTAACAAGGCAGCTCTCCCTCCCTCTACCTGTGCGCTTAATTTTTAACCTAAATGCAGAACTTTTCCGAGTGTCCATATTACATTCCATCTGCTTAGTCCCACCCTGAGATCAGCAGGAGGCCTGCCGGGTTCTGTCCCCTGTGGACCTGGTTGGTTGGTATTGGTATCCAAGTAGGCCCGGAGGGCGGGCACAGACCCTTTGGTTCACACTGGAGACCCCTCCTAGGCCAGTGTCCACTCATGACAGAGCCTCATTGGGTACCATTGTTCAGCCAGGTTGACTGGCTGTCCTCTGTCTTCCCTGTGGTTTGCTGGTGTCTTCCTGTCCCTCCCTCTCTCTGTCCCCTTTCCCCATCTCTCTTTCCTTGTCATTGTTCCTTTACTTTCTCTCCCTTTCCCCCTCTCCCTCCTCCTCCTCTGTATCTTAATTCTCTTGCCCTCTCTCTTCTCGTCTTCACCTCTTTCCTTCCCTTCTTCGTCCTCCACCTTTTCTCTTAGGATGATGGTCATTGTTCAGCCAGGTTGACTGGCTGTCCTCTGTCTTCTCTGTGGTTTGCTGGTGTCTTCCTGTCCCTCCATCTCTCTGTCCCCTTTCCCCATCTCTTTCCTTGTCATTGTTCCTTTACTTTCTCTCTGTTTCCCCCTCTCCCTCCTCCTCCTCTGCATCTTAATTCTCTTGCCCTCTCTCTTTTCCTCTTCACCTCTTTCCTTCCCTTCTTCCTCCTCCTTTTCCTCTTAGGTTCATGGCCAAGGTCACAGCCACAGAGGTTTCTCCTCACCTGCCCCCAAATTGGTCTTTGGCTGTGCCCTGGGCCACAGTGAGGGTGATGCCCAGAGCCTGCGGGTGGGGCTGGGAGTAGGAGGCCTGGCCCACTGAGCCGTCTCTGGTCCAGGCTGAGAAGGCTGTGCCTACCTCAGTCACAGCAGCATTGGTCCCCAGCGTGTACACAGAGCCATCTTCTCAGCACAGGAAGGGGTCCTGGCAGAAGAGGCATCCAGAGGTCCTCCTGTCCTTCCTCTGCCCTGGGAGCTCTTGAACCAGGACAGGCTGATTGGAATTTGTCCTGCTGGGATGGCCCCTCATTGACCTCTTTATCTCCACAGTAATCAGTGTCCCCAAGCCTTCATTACCTGAAAGTCCGTTCTTAATGCTACCCCACGTCCTGCATGCTGTAGGGCCGAGCAAATGAATAGTTCTCTTGTCGAGCCTCCCCTATGATTGGGCCTCCACTCTTCTTCAGTCTCAAGTGGGTCCCGGGTCATTTCCCCATTGCCTGTTGCTTGGCCCCTTGTTCATGGAATTGTGTCCCCTGCCTCCGCACCCTCCCTCCCACTCTCCTCCGACTTCCCTGAGTCACAAACTGCCTTCCTCATCTGGCTGGAGGCCTGGACCGGGTGGGGCACTTGCCCAGGGCCCTCTCCAGAAGCTCTGCCCTCTGGGAGGGACGGGGCCTCTTGCCTTTCCCCTGTGCTGCTTCTAGCAGTTGGATGGGCTGGTGGTTAGTGGTGGGAACATGGACCCTGTGTGGGTCTCTTTACAAGTCTCGGTGGCCGGTGGTGGGCCCATCCTGGGAGTTCGGGGGTAAGAGCAGCCTGGTTGGAGTCCATTCTGGGCCCAGGGGAGGACTCCTGAGTTCGGGCTGAGCGCTAGTTAGATCCTCTGCCAGGAAGGAGGGGTATGGTCCATCCCCTTACACGAGAGAAAGGAGCTCCCGGGCAGGTGTCTGGCGAGGGCAGGGGAAGGCGGACGGAGATGGGCGTGCTGGGCTGGAGTGGGGAATGCCGTCTTCCTAGTTTGGGGCGGGGTGACATTCTGCTGCATCACCCAAGTGGGCCCAGAGTGATTTTTCCTCCCATTTCCTGAGGCCTTGGGCCAGGTTCCCACTGCTGCTCTGTCCCTTGCTCTCAGCAAAGGTCCCCAGGAGAGGGTCCCTGCTCGGTCCTTTTTTTGGGGGGAAGCAGCAGCTCTCCGAGTCTGTTGAGTGAAGGATGGAGGCAGAGTCCCCTCAGCATCCAGAGATGCTTCTTGAATGACTCCTGGCTTCAAGGCCTGTGACTGCTGGGCTCCTCGTCCTCTTCTGGGCACAGGCCTGCCCAACTCAGCACCCATGTCTCCCATCAACCCCGCTCTGCAGGAAGCCGGTGAACATGACCAAGGCCACGGTCAACTACCGCCAGGAGAAGACGCACATGATGAGCGCTGTGGACCGGAGCTTCACGGACCAGAGCACCCTGCAGGAGGATGAGCGGCTAGGTCTCTCCTTCATGGACGCCCACGGCTACAGCCCCCGGGGTGAGTGCCCGGTTCCAGGCCCCTTCCTCGTGGCTCTGGGGCTCCTCACGTCAGATAAGTTCTGTAATATCCCCCACCAGACTTGAAGCATCTATTGTGCTCCTGCTGTGTACCAGCACTGGCCCTGGAAATGCAGAGAAGGCACAGGCATGACCTTTGCACTGGAAGAGCTTTAGGAAAAATGGTCTTAGACACAGACTCATAGAGGAGGAATGCAAGGTCATGGGTTCATTGTGGGAAGTGCCTCGGGGACTCAGGAGTGAGAGAGTGATGCTGTGTGATCAGAGAGAATCAGAGCAGCCTCCTGGCTTAATGGAGCACCTGCCGGGTGAGCAGCTAGAGTCAGACAGACCTGGTTACTCAGGAGTGAGAGAGTGATGCTGTGTGATCAGAGAGGATCAGAGCAGCCTCCTGGCTTATGGAGCACCTGCCGTGTGAGCATCTGGAGACCAGTGGCGAAGAGGGATTACTCTGAAGTCAGATAGACCTGGGCTTGCATCTCAGATCCCAGAAGCTGTGTGATCTTGGGCAAGTTGCTTAACCTCTCTGGATGTCTGCTTCCTCCTATGCTCTGCTGGTAGGGCTGCTTGAAGACTAAATGAGATCATGTGTTTACATCATTAGTGCTGTACCTGGCAAGCAAGAAGAGTATAGAGAATCAGTTGTATGTGTTAGGGGCTTGTCATAACGCACTTCATCACACATCTCTTTATTCCGTTCCGTGCTGATTTGTACAAAAGAAAATATGTAATATTTATGAAGATCCTAAAGTCATAATAATACGACAAACACCAGTGAACAGGTGCCCCTCTTCTATCCCATACCTCCCTCTTACATGTAACTATTCCCCTGAAATTGGTGTTTATAGCTTTCTTGCCATTTGGGGGGTAGTTTTCCTAGTGTGCAAGCATCCCCAGACAGAGCATTGTAGAATTTTTCTTGCTTTGGAGCTTTATAAAAATAAACTCACTCTATTTTTCAACTTCACATCATGTTTCTAACATTGACCCAGATGGAAGTTTCGCTATAGTTCATTTATTTTCTCTGATGTGTAGTTTCCCATTGTTTGAATCTACTGCAATTTATTTCCCTATTCTGCCATCCGTGGACATTTGCTTTGTTCCCAGTTTCCTGTTATTACAAATGAGGCTGCTGTGAACATTCTGAGATGAATCTGCAGATGCACCTGCACAGGAGATGCTAGAACTGCTGGGTTATGGAGTGTGTGCTTGTTCCACTTGATAAGACAGCGCCAAATTGTTTTCCAAAGTGGCTCTGCCTGTGTTCGCTCCCAGCAGCAGTGCATGCGAGTTTCCTTTGCTTTACATCAAGATCAGAATTTGCCAGCCTTCTTCACTTTTGCCAAACTGGCTCTTATAAAATGGCAACTCTCTATAGGCTTAATTTGCATTTCTCTGATTACTAATGAGGTTGAAGATATTTTCACATCATTACTGGCCATTCAGGTTCCTTATTCCATGAAATGCCTGTTCGTGTCTTTTACCTAATTTTCTGTTGGTTTTTCTGTTGCTTTCTTAGTGGTTTTTAAAAGTTCTTTATATATTTGGGATGATAATCATTTGTGACTTATGAATTGCAAATATCTTCTCTCAATTTGTGACTCATCTTCGAAGGTTATTTATAGTGTCTTGGATGAATAGCTTTTTATTTCAGTTTAGTCAAGTTCATCCATCTTTTTAGAGTCCTACTTTTTGTAGATCTTAAAGATTTCTTCCTTATGTAGGGTCATAAAATATTTTTTATTATTTCTTTTTTTTAAAAAATATGTTTTATTGATTTTTTACAGAGAGGAAGGGAGAGGGATAGAGAGCTAGAAACATCTATGAGAGAGAAACATCGATCAGCTGCCTCCTGCATGCCCCCTACTGGGGATGTGCCCGCAACCAAGGTACATGCCCTTGACTGGAATCGAACCTGGGACCCTTCAGTCCACAGGCCAACGCTCTATCCACTGAGCCAAACCAGTCAGGGCTTTTTTATTATTTCTATAACTTTCTTTCGTTGTTGTTAATCCTCACTTGAAGATATTTTTCCATTGATTTTTAGAGAGAATGGAAGGGAGGGGGAGAGACAGATAGGAACATCGATGTGAGAGAGAGATACATGGATTGGTTGCCTCCCGCACGTGCCCCAGGGATTCAGGGATCGAGCCTGCAATAGAGCTATGTGCCCTTGACCAGAATCGAACCTGGGACCCTTTAGTCCATGGGCTGACACTCTATCCACTGAGCCAAACCGACCAAGGCTAAAACATTTAATAATTTGCATTTCACATTTAAAGCTTTATCTATTTGTGATTGATTTTTGTGCGCAATATGAATTAAGGATTTTATTTTATTTTTTTCCTATGGGGAAAACCAATTGTCCCAGCATCAGGTATTATAGTTCATATTTTCACTACTGATTTGCAATGTCACCCTTATCATATATCACGTTTCCATACATATGTGGATTGTTTTTTGGCTCCCTATTCTCTTTCATTGGCCAATTTAGTGATTCCTGTGCCAATACCACATTTTCTAACTTCTGTAATTATATTGATATCTGAAACATCAAGCCCTCCCAAGTTTGTTCTTCATTAGGGATGTCTTGGCTATATTTGTGCTCATTATCTGTCTTATAAATTTTATAATTATCTTTTCAAGTTCTTTGGAAAACTTTGTTAGATGGATTTCTATTGAATATATAGATCAATTTTGGGGGAAACTGACATTAAATTGTCTTTCCATTTATGAATATGATATACTAGAGGCCCAGTGCACGAAATTTGTGCACTCGGGGCCGGGGGGAGGGGTCCCTCAGCCCAGATTGCAAGAGGGCACAGGCCAGGCCGAGGGACCCCACTGGTGCACGATCGGGGCCGGGAAGGGATGCAGGAGAGTTGCCAGCAGGAGAGCTCCAGGGCGTGTCCAGCCCATCTCGCTCAGTCCTGATTGGCAGACCCTGGCAGCAAGCTAACCTACCAGTCTGCACCCTGGTGGTCAGTGCACATCATAGCGAGCAGTTTAGTGACCTTAGCATATCATTAGCATATTACGCTTTGATTGGTTGAATGGCCGATTGGATGATCAGACACTTAGCATATTAGGCTTTTATAGGATATCACCCCATTTATTTAGGTCCTGAATGTCTTTCAACTATTCTCTCCATAAAATCTTACACATTTTTGTTAGATATACCCCCAGGTCCCTTATATTTTTTATTTATATTGCAAATGATACATTTTTTGTGCATGTGTGGTAAAATATACATAACATGAAATTTACCATCTTAGCCATTTTTAAGTGTATAGTGCAGTGTATTAAATTCATTCATAATATTGTGCAATCTTTCTGCCATCCATCTTCATAGCTCTCTTCACTTGTAGACTGAAATTCTGTGCTCCTTAAGTAATAACTCCTCCTTCCCCTCTCTTCCCAGCCTCTAGCAGCCACCATTCTACCCTCTGTGTCTATGATTTTGACTATTCTGTTATCTCATGTAAGTGTTTGTGTTTTTGTGACTGGCTTCTTTTCACTTAGCATAATGTCCTCAAGGTTTCTACATCTTGTAGCATCTTTCAAAATCTGCCCCCTCTTTTAAAGGCTGAATAATATTCCATTGTATATAGAAATCGCATTTTAAAAATCCATTTATCTGTCAATAGACACTTGGGTTGCTTCCATATTTGAACTATTGTGAATAATACTGTTATGAACATGGATGTCTGTAAGACCCTGCTTTCAGTTTGTGGTTTTTTTTTTTTATTTATTTTTTATTTTTTATTTTTTTTAAATCTATACCCAGAAGTGGAATTGCTGGATCATAAAGTAATTTTATGTTGTTTTTTTTAAAAAATTAAATCTTTATTGTTCAGATTAGTACAGTTGTTCCTCTTTTTTCCCCCATAGCTCCCCTCCACCGGGTTCCCACCCTACCCTCTGCCCTTACCCCCCTCCCCCATCCTCATCCATAGGTGTACGATTTTTGTCCAGTCTCTTCCCCCACCTCCCACACTCCTTTCCCCCCAAGAATAGTCAGTCCACTCCCTTTCTATGCCCCTGATTCTATTATATTCACCAGTTTATTCTGTTCATCAGATTATTTATTCACTTGATTTTTAGATTCACTTGTTGATAGATGTGTATTTGTTGTTCATAATTTGTATCTTTACCTTTTTCTTCTTCTTCCTCTTCTTAAAGGATACCTTTCAGCATTTCATATAATACTGGTTTGGTGGTGATGAACTCCTTTAGCTTTTCCTTATCTGTGAAGCTCTTTATCTGACCTTCAATTCTGAATGATAGCTTTGCTGGATAAAGTAATCTTGGTTGTAGGTTCTTGCTATTCATCACTTTGAATATTTCTTGCCACTCCCTTCTGGCCTGCAAAGTTTCTGTTGAGAAATCAGCTGACAGTCGTATGGGTACTCCCTTATAGGTAACTGACTTTTTTTCTCTTGCTGCTTTTAAGATTCTCTCTTTGTCTTTTGCTCTTGGCATTTTAATTATGATGTGTCTTGGTGTGGTCCTCTTTGGATTCCTTTTGTTTGGGGTTCTCTGCGCTTCCTGGACTTGGAAGTCTATTTCTTTCACCAGGTAGGGGAAGTTTTCTGTCATTATTTCTTCAAATAGGTTTTCAATATCTTGCCCTCTCTCTTCTTCTGGTACCCCTATAATTCTGATGTTGGTACGCTTGAAGTTGTCCCAGAGGCTCCTTACACTATCTTCGTATTTTTGGATTCTTTTTTCATTTTGCTTTTCCGGTTGGGTGTTTTTTGCTTCTTCGTATTTCAAATCTTTGACTTGATTCTTGCGATCCTCTGGTCTGCTGTTGGGAGTCTGTATAATATTCTTTATTTCAGTCAGTGTATGCTTAATTTCTAGTTGGTCCTTTATCACAACATCGAGGGTCTCACTAGATTTCTTAAGGATCTCAATACATTTATCGGCGGTTTCCATAAAATTCTTGAAAAATCTTAGAACCGTGGTTTTGAACTC